ATTCAAGTAAAACAATAGGCACATGTGATTACCGATGGATAATGGACGACGAGCATACTGTTGTCGTGAAAATGCAAAATTATAAGAAAGGAGCTATGGTCGAGACCATTTTCCAAATTTGCCAATCAACCAACCAAAAAAAAAAAAAAAAAAAAAAAACACTTAAAAACACTTTACAAACACTTTGAAAACACTTTAAAAAACTTTAAAAAACTTAAAAAGACTACTGAACCTGGTATCCTGGAAAGGCGAGAGGTCAAGTGTGCAATGTACAATCCACCTTCACAAACTTTCTTCTTTAAAAAAAAAAAAAAAAAAAAAAGGTTGAGAGGGGTGTCGGGGACAGCGGCAGGGTGCGAAGGTCCAGCCGGGGGCTAGACACAGAGTGTTCAGCCCTCCATGTCGGCACAGTGGACCCACAATTGACAGACCAAACAGGGAGACCAACAGAGAGTCCAAAACAGCACATTTCGGCATGATGATAGTAATGGTAGCATAGTTTTCTAGACGCTGAAGTGAATAAGTGACTAAGTGGATCAACTCGACTGCACAGCGCAATGAGTACAGAGTACTGCATACATACAACGCAGCTTGATTTGGCGCCAACGCTGTTTGGCCGTCAGATAAAGAATTATTGTGTATGATCCTGTTTTTTTTATGGCTCCCAGATGGGGGAAAAACACAGATCGATGTAACCCAAAATAGAGGCAGAGGCGCTACCAATTTCAGAAAAGCAAGGAATACGCTACCTTTGTTCCATACGCGATGGCATCATCCAACTTCCCCTTGTCAAGTGCTGTCTTCGAGGACTCCAGGAGCGTGCGCCCATCTGCTGATGTACAAGCGACATGCTGATATGACCGTAACCATTGGGGGATCATTTGTAGAAGATGGGTAGAGCACAGCAGTGACAGAGGGGGCAGAGAAGGGAAGACAGAAACACACCCAAGCACGAACACGGCAACCACCGCGCAAAACGTAGAAGAGAGTCAGATCAGAAGCTGAATGACAACTCTTTCCCAATCCATCCTCTTCAGAGACACAGGAACAAAGCCAAAAAAAAAAAAAAAAAAAAAAAAAAAATGCAGCCAAGCTGCACAATCACTCGTTAACATTCAAACAAAGAAGTTATTCCTTGCTGGAATCAGCCTTGAATCTGCAGTCAAGCAGTGGATGGCAGTATGGATACGAGTCCCCGCGTATCTGGACTGTAAACTTTGCCGAATACGGCTATAATGACAGCGCCTTCTATTCGGGTGAAGACGGTGGATGGTTAGGGTATTGGCCTGGTCTGAGAGAGAACTGCTTTATACGCCCCAACAAAAGAAAGACTGCTGTCCTTATTGTATTCGTTTCTCAAAGATTAGCTTTCCCAAGCCTCAAAAGAGAACTGCTTACCAACGGGCTTAAGCTCAGTTGGTACAAATACAGACCCAAGTTCGAATCCCAATGCAACAAGATGACCATAATTATTTAAGTCTGAACTTAAATCATAAGTCAATGATGATATCTCAAGGCCGTTTCCTCTTCTTATGTTTTTCTTCTTTTTATCTGTTTTTCTTTTTTTTTTTCTTTTTCTTTTTTTTTCTTTTTTTCTCCTTTTTTTTTCTTTCTTCTTCTTAAAAAGAAAAAAGAGACCTGCTTATGCCTCAACAAGATAGTCTTCCCTACAGTAACTCTGATCTTTTACCAGAGCGAGCTAGAAGATGCCAGATAAGAGAATTCGCAGATATCTGTAAAAAGGCAACAGTTTCTTACGGAGTGATTTTAAATTATTAATAGAGACACAGTGACTGCTTACATCCCTGCAAGCTCACCTTGACAAGTCTGATAATCTGATTCTTACATCAACAAGTAAGCTCGAAGAATCATTTACGACGAACTCACTGATTGGAGTAGAGCAAGCTAGAAGAGCTCTGGGGTGTGCACAGCAGCAACATTGTCCAAATCACGGAGAAAGAATAAAGAAGCGAAAGACAACATCATTCGGATTTCGAACCAAGCTAGAAGACTTGTTCATTCTACTCGTCGGAATTTGAGCTAGAAGAGTGGCTCATTGTACTCGTTGGAATAGAGTTGTCAAGTTTTTAACTTTCAATTCACACGCCTGGTCTGCTTGGTGGCAACACACATGGGACTGTTGTAGTATCACTTACAGTGTAATCAGTTTTGGGATTCTGTAGACTGTTGAGGGTTCAGCCTCCTGATGAGTCGGTGAAACTGCGACGAAACAGTTTGTCGCAGCCCCTATTATATCAATACTTCGGAATAAAGTTCAAAACAACAATCGTAGATTCGTAACAATAAACCAACGAGTCCTTCGGAACATCCGTTAAAATTGGAACCATACAGAGAAGGGTAGCATGGCCCCTGCAAAAAGATGACACACCTAAATTGAGAAATGGTCCACACACACACACACACACACACACACACACACACACACACACACACACAAGTGACACAACGAAAAAGGAAGGGACGACAATTAATAAGCGGAACACACACACACACACACACACACACACACACACACACACACACACACACACACAAGTGACACAACGAAAAAGGAAGGGACGACAATTAATAAACGGACAACAGTAAGCGAGATTTTGAGCAGGTTGAGGATAGCTGCTGCTACTTGAAGTTCCAGGGTGAAATAGGCGGAGACATCGTAAAATACCTTGTACACCGGAAATAGGCTGATTATGTCCAACGGTGTGAAGGGGTTAGGCGAGTCCATATCATAATTCCGCGGGGCAATCTCGATCCCGACCTGCATGGAAGTCATTCAAAGACAGAAATTAACAGCTGCTCCATATCATGGTGAAGGTTGAGTGCAGTGGTCCATTTGGATTGTCTGACCCAAGCGGGATAAAAAACATGGAGTGGTTCCACCAATGGGACACTTTCCCAGCATGGGGGAATTCCCAAGGGCCTTATACTTTTAATCAGGGCTGTCCTCGCATCGATCGAGACCGAGGGGCTCACTCAATTTTTGCATCCCCAGCTACCCCCTGTAAGAAAACAGTTAGAAATCCTTTGCTATTACAAAAAGAGAGAAGTTAAGAGAAAAGAAAGAATAAATGAAGTTCCATCATAAAGTTGGCATAAACAGGATGAACATGCATTAAGAGACAGAAATAATAAATGAAGTCCTAATGATAAAGTCAGCTTAAACAAGATGAACATGCATTAAGATTGCACAGAGGGACCGCCTTTTTTTACCTTTTTTTTTTTTTTTTTTTTTTTTTTGGAGGGGGGGGGTGTGGAAGGGGGGGAGCTGCTCCGTCTATTGGTGGGGAGCGACACCTGCTGCAAACCCAGTCCAGCGTCCCTTGAATACATCATCTCTTTTTTTAGCATGAACCATCAAAACCAGGTCACGGTGCGGGACCGCTCCTTGGAGCGAGAAGGTGTCACTGTCTGTCTGTCGGTTGGACTCACCTTATTGCACACTCCTCTGAGCATCGCGAGTTTGCGGAGCTCATCCCTAGTTCCAGCTGGCAGATCAAAATGGTATCTTCGCTTGATGAATCCCTCAATCCATTTCCACACAGTGATGCTGGGGTGCTCATCAGCAGTAGACTCCTCCTGGCAGCTGCTTGTTGACGTCGAGTCTTCACCATGATTTCCATTGGCCGCAGCAGCAGGAGCTGTTGTTGTCGCAGATGCAAGTCCTGCAGCTGAGCTGATGTCACCCGTGCTGTCGGCGGCTGCCGGCGGCTTCCCAAACAGGACGTTCAGGGCTGCAGCCACAACATGGGCCATCAGGATCGGCGAGCCGGCACACCTGGCCACTGCAACCCGCACAATGTGCTTGCAGGCGCGAACAACCATCTCGTGGATGCACAGGGATTTCACATGTGACAGGTTTTCTGCCAGTTCAGCCTGTGTTTCCATCAAACACGGTCCAAAAGGCAACAGAAATAGAAATGGATCAGACTCATGGACGTTAGCCAAGATGCCAATGCATAATACCTATAGCATATGCATTAGATATACATATATATATATCGTCACAAACAGAACTGCCCAGTAAAACCGTAGGCAGAGAGAGAGAAGAGGACAACAAACGAGGGGCTGTGACAAACTGTTTCGTCGTATATATATAGACAATTGGAGGTGCCACGGTTACGAGCCTCAGGGGGAAAAAAAAAAACAAGGCAGAAACGCAGACCCAGGCAACTCCCTCTCACCATATCCGATCACCCCCCTAAGGCTTGCCATTGAGCGACGAATCCGTTTCAGCATCACAAAACATTTGCGAGGTTGGCTTTGAGAATGGAACTGGGAACACCAGTGCACGCGAGTGAATTGTACACATATCATACGTGAAACGGTTTTCACCTTTCTGCAGTCACAGATGCGGGCCCTAGAGTTCGATCCCCAGACCTCACTTTGCCCATGTACAGTATCGAGTCAACCCCCAAGTGTTTGAACCCGTGACCTGTGTTTTGGTAGTTGTTTGTCGCCCGTCGTAGGTCTGTGTAGTGGTAGGGGTTTGATCTGTAGGTCTGTCGATCTGGAGTCACAGCTCTGTAGAGGTCATAGCTGTAGGTATTCTGAAAGGTCAAGGTCGTAGCTGTAGGTATTCTGAAAGGTCAAGGTCGTAGCTGTAGGTATATTCTGAAAGGTCGAGGTCGTAGCTGCTACAGTACTCGAAAGGCCAAGTCCAGACTTCCGGAAGGTCCGGAAGTGGCCTTTCGAAATTGCCTCACGTTAGCCAGAGGCAAGTGGGCAAGTGGTGAGCCCAACTGCGTTTTATCGGCAGTGTGACCGCATCGAGTTGGCAGTGCAAACCCATGCAGTCACTGGTACAGGTCCAGCCAGTCCCAGTCCAGTCAAGCAAGTACCATGAGGGACTGTGTGCACCATGGGCCCGGTGGAAAGGGGGCAGACCAACGAGTTACAGAAGTATAAATCCAGAGGCAGCGCCCAGCCATTCATCCATTCGCTGCGTAAGCCATGCAGAAGCGCTGCCCCAGCGTCTTGTGCGAGGTGGTCTGCAGAGCGCCCGAAGTTGAAGTGAACCGGAAGAAGATAGCGTAGCCATGGTAGTAGCGAGCGGCAATAGCCGCCATAGGTTGTAATAGAGGTTAGTGAGTGTGGGTGTGCGTGAGACAGAGTACGCGTGCATGGAGTATTCAGGGTGATCCAGAATGGAGTACGTGCGAACAGTGGTGTTGGACACAGTGGCGAGAGTTGGGTATACGGGCGCTGCTGAGTTTGCATCTGAACTGTGTTATTGGTTTCCATATCTCTGAGCTTTGAGTGGGCGCTTGGCGCCAGTGTGAATTGCTATCTGTTTGCATGTATGCGAAGTAAAGAAGAAAGCGAGTCTGATTGCATATGCCACACCATTAGCAAACAGAGCATGAGTTCGGATCCTGAGCTTGTAATTCCGGGACAGCAAGAACAGACAGCCCACATCACCTTACCCACAGACAGAGTAACGTTAATTTTTTACATCTTCAGTTTCTATGACACCCCCTCCCCCTCCTCACCACCACCAAATTCCCCTCCCCAAACCCCCGGTCTTGTTCTGACTTACGAATTCCATATAATATGATCTCTTACTCAGCACATTGATTGGCTCTCCCATTCTCTCTCTCTCTCTCTCTCTCTCTCTCTC